CAGCCGGCCCAGCTCACGGGAACCCGCCCATTGCCTTCTGCAGCCAGACCAGGCTCGTCTCAGCAAGCTCCCAGGGCGCGGAGTCCCCACAGCCCCTGGGGGTCCTGCCCCGCACTGCCACTGGCTGCCTGGGGGCAGCCTCTCTGGCTAGGGGCACTGTGCCTCCAGCCTGGACAGGGCCCTGCCACCCAGCTCCGCAGCCGAGCGGCCCACGCGTCTCTCCTCTGCCTGCCAGAGGGCACTGCAGCACCAGGGCAGGGCATGGTTCAGGCCGGTCTCCCTTTGCGCCGCCCTGCCAGTCACTGCACACAAGGGCATCTCCGAGGATCAGCCCCCTGCCTCTGCCACAATGGAGACGCACAGCCAGCCACCAGATCCCTGCCAAAACCCCAGCCTCCCCCGCAGGGAGCAGAGGCAGCAGTTTCCTGGGAAGAGCAGAGCCTTTAATTCCAAGCCATACAATTCCCACTCATAAAATCCGTTCCACGGCCGTTTAAAAGGGTAAAATGGCTCAGGAAACCCCCGTCTCTGCTGCATCTGGTCCAGCGTGATCAGCCATCGCCACCATCACCGGCCTGCTGGGCCAGGACGCTCCTGAACGAGACAGCAATGCCAGCGCCCGCCGAGACCCTCCCGTCCAGGAGAGGCCAACAGCAGGGCAGAGCCTGCAGCTGCCAGCAGCCGCCCCGGCCAGCCCAGCGGCTCAGCCCAGGAAGCGCAAGGCAGCCATGGCTGAGAAGCCCAGCAGCATGGCAAGCACTCTGGGCAGGCGGCAGGTCGGGGAGTTCAGCTCATGAGGCAGGATCTCAAGGAAGGTGATATAGACAAAGGTCCCTGCCGCCATCCCTTCCAGCAGGCACTGGGCCATGGTGCTGCTGGGGCCTGGGTTCTGGGTCATCACAATCCCCACGGCCATGCCTAGGGGAGACATGAGGGCAAAGGTGCCAATCAGAGCCACAAAGCAGCAGGCGGAGACTCGGCTCTGGAGGAGCAGGAGCGACAGGCTGCCAGCAATCACGCTCTTGTGCACCAGGATGGCCATGCAGATCTGCAGCACCTTGGACTCCGCATCCTGCAGCCCCACGGCCAGGCCCTCGAACAGCGCGTGCACGGACAGAGACAGGAACAGGACAAAGGAGCGGAAGGACGAGTGGGCCTGGAAGGCCACAGGGAAGTGGTGAGCCCCCGTCTCCACCCCACACTCTGCAGGGTCTGCTGGCTGGGGGGGCCCCCCTGCACAGGAGAGGAGAGGGGTGGCCTCCCCCGCCTGCCGCTCGCTGCAGTCCAGGACCACGTGCTCGATTACGAGAACCAGCAGGAAGCCAACAGTCAGGACAAACTCGGGAAAGGGAAAATCCACCTGGGGAAGCAGAGAGCATGTTAGCCCAAGCACATGGCTCCGGCCCCCCAGCCAGCAGAGCAGCGACTCCCATGGGGCCCTGCAGCAGGGAGCCAAGAAGAACAGCAAGCCTGGCCCCGGGGCGAGGCCCCCCCAGCCCTATG